ATTTTTTTTCTAATACTTGTGGGTCTTAATTGTTCACTGGAGATCATCCCAACATACTGTGCTTTGCTACACAGACAGCTCATAACAATGCCCATTTCCCTAACATTTCCAGCTAAAGGCAAAGGCAAAGGTAATTGTTCAGCCAAAGGCTACCATGGGGTCAGATGAAGTCATATTTTTTATTATTCAAAACGGAGTATCAACTCTTCAAGCCCACTCTCCCTGCAGATTGACCCTCAACCTATCCATGAGTCGTATCAAAATTCATAGTTTTGGCCTCAAACCCCACACTCAGCTTATACATGAGTTCAACTTTTACACAAATATATAAAGTATTATTATTTTTTGCAAAAATGTAGGAGGATGTTCATGGGATGATAGTCAAATTGAAATAATCTTGAGGCTGGTCTTTATTCCTCATGATAACAATAAGAGCAACTTACAGAAAATTAGCTCATCCCTCTTCTTTGTGATATTCAAGCTTCCTACTGGCAGAAGCTGTGGGAGGACAATCAGTCAGACATCTCTGCATCTGCATTTTGAAGAATGACTGTCCCACAAGGGCTGTATAACATCCATTTATTTCTCTTTTAAAAAGCTGAAGATCAGTCTTGTGACTGATATTTACATTTGAAAGAGTCACAAGAAAGAAATAATGCTTGGAGTTAACCTATGGTTGGCAACATATCTCTACAATTTATGCTGCGGCAATCTACTGCATTTTTTAGAATGCCTTCAGTGGCTATACTTTTTCTCTGGGCAGTTTATAATATTACGAAAGCATAAGAAAACTTATTAAACATGAGCAACTATGAACAATTTATACTATTTCAAACAATGTTAAAGGTTATAGAAATAGTATCTTTTTTATAAAAAAAGGGGGGGGGGGTCTAAATTGCTTGATGTTAAATGAAAAATCTAATTATCAGATCGAAAATTTCTCACATTTCTTGTGAGATGGAGCTCCAAAGGTTGGGAAGAACACTAAAATAGGCCAACATTATTTACATTGTAATTGTGAAATTTGCAATAAATTATGGGTTGGCCTATGTACTCATCCCTGGGAGTAAGCCCCATTTACCTTATTTATGTAGCTATGCATAGGACTCAGCTCTCAGAAGTAGGGTAGTATTGGTTGAACACCATTCTTTTTCTGAAAATCATTTTTAAAAGAAAGGTAATTCTGATCTTATTGTATCATTCCCATTTTTAACCAAGGACTAGTATGATATTTGAGTTTCTATCTTCCAGCAATCTGCTCAAGCTCAGCTGACCGATTATACCAGGGAGTAATTATAGCTACACTTCCTAGGAAGAAACATATGCATTTAACTGTGCCCAACATGTAGGTTCCTCTGAAATTCATAGTGTAATTAGATCACTCAGAATAATCCAGTATTTCTGCATATTAGTTTCTTGATGGAAAACAACATCTGGATGCACTATTATCACACAGCTTCTTGCTTGGATGACATCACGAAGAAGTTGCTCAGCTTGTGTTTCTCCATAGTAATGGGTTTAAACCTTCTGCCAAGAAAAGAGGAACAAAGGCCTATACTATTAAAATATAGGATTCACAAACCCAGTTGGCACTAGCAATACTGATTATGAAGTGCTGATCTTGAGCAAAGCAGCAGCTCCAGGAATTCAAAAAAGTAGGCTGTAGATGGACTTGAAACATGAGGTGGTTGTTTTTAGTAATGTAGTAACTATGGTTTGCTTGCTTCCTCAGCTACCCCATAATCAAAGTTTTCAGCCACCCAAAGATAGTTATCAAAAGTTTGCTAGTAATCTATTAGAAATTATGGTTAATATTGTATTGTCGAAGGCTTTTATGGCCGGAATCACTGAGTTGTTGTAGGTTTTTTCGGGCTATATGGCCATGGTCTAGAAGCATTCTCTCCTGATGTTTCGCCTGCATCTATGGCAAGCATGGGCTGGTCCATGAGGTCACGAAGAGTCGGAGACGACTGAACGAATGAACAACAACAATGGCAAGCATTCTCAGAAGTAGTGAGGATGCTTGCCATAGATGCAGGTGAAACGTCAGGAGAGAATGCCTCTAGGCCATGGCCATATAGCCCGAAAAAACCTACAACAACCCTATGGTTAATATTGTTTGTTTTGTATATATTTTATCCTTATTTTATCAGATTCTACCATTTTGCTCCCCATTTCTTCTGTTCTATAAGATTATTTTGCTAAAGAAAATTAGCAAAATAATTTTCTTGCACCCATGCCAGCTGGACAGTAAAAAACAAATCAGATTGTGACTAGTTTTAAAGGAACTCTTCAATCTGCTCCACCTATTTATGTAGGAATATGGTTCAGCACCTTGGAGAGTATTTTTCAAACCTGGGTTAAAACCTGGGTTTTTTTCCTGCTACACTTGATTTTACTTTAATTATCATGGCTGCATACTGTAGAATTGGCGAGGCATTGAACCACTCTGGTTGAAA